TATGTGGGAGGGTATTGTATGTGGGGGGTATTGTACGCGAGGGGTATTAAAAAAATAAAATAAAAAATAAATAAATATAGTAAATAAAATTAGGACCTAAAAAGTGAGAATTTTATATTAATAAGAAAAGAAATATACAGTATAATGAACTTTTTTTATTAAACTATACCAGGTACTAATCAATGTCCATAAAGTTTCAACTTTGAAAAATACCTGGGTACTAATCAAGTTTCATAAGTTTCAACTTTGAAAATTACCCGGGTACTAACCATAGTTAAGTCTTTATGTATGGTAAATAATATCCAGGTCTTAATCAAGAGGGGTACTATTTCTTGGAGGTACTTTATGCAGTGCTCTACAGTAAATTGTTTCTGAAGGGTAGAAAAAATAATAAATTTTATAATAAACAAAGTCAAAAATTTATATATTTTTCTATAATATAGGAATGAGACTTGCTTACATATAAAAGTATCTTTTTATTAAGTAAACCTTCTTTTAGCTTATAAAAAAAGTTGTAATACTAATTTTTCTGATTCTATTGGTAGTAAAATCATCAAAATTAGAGATATAAGTATTTTTCAATCATTTACTATAGAGTTTTTCTTAAGAAACGGAGCACATGGCATTCCACTTACTATATAAGGTAACTAGTAAATGCCCGCCGATTTTTACTATGAAATTTGTTTCCTTTAACTGCGGACTACCAATTAAAATTTCAGCATCATCCCCGACATTTACTAATAAATTGATTTGCAGTCTAAACGGGTAATTATCATTATTAAATATAAAAATCATATTAACTGTTCAAAAAAAATTTTTTTAGCCAATCAAAATCTCATGTTTTTTTACCCCCTATATCTGAAGCTCAAAGAGGGGGGTTATGTTAAACATAGTTTTAAATTGGTGTGACCTTAATGTAAAGTTACGGTTTCGTAAATTACAACGTAATTTCATGTAACGTAAAAATATAATTTTGCGTAATACAACCCTACATGGGGATTACATAATTTTGCAAAGCACAATAAAATGCTAATATTGATTCGATATTAAAGATTTTCATATTTTCATTTGTTAATTTTCAAAAGTAGTAAGATGATGTGAAGCTCTAATATAGTTAAAAAAAAAAGATCTTACACGAATGCATGTGCATGTTAGATCATGTTAGATCCTCATGTGGAGTGACACGAGCGCTAAGTACATCATTCCAGAATTTTCTAATTAAACAACTTAACGCCAAACTTGTTAAAAAATCAGGGATTTGTTTATATAAGGTAACTAGTGCCACATAATTACTCACAAAAGATTTGCGTTTTAAATTTCAACAACTTCGGCGTTTTTGCTTTTCTATCTAATTGTTTGATGAATCTATTGTTGTCCTGATTTGATATAAAAGTAACAGAATTCTTTGTATATATAAATAATAATTGACGAAACTTCTGATAGTATACACTGACAAACTTTGATAGTATACATTAGCGATAGTTATTGTTTTGATATTTTGCAAGTTAAACCCCATGTTAAGGTTAGTAAGACCACACGGTTTTCATAACATAAAACTTTTAAACAGACCCGGCCGGCTGGCTTTTTCTTTAAACATATATAAAATTTTATAAAATTTTTTTTTCAAAATTTGACCCGGCCGAGTTATGAAAACAAATTAATTAATTTGCATTGCTTAATTATGAACAAATTAAATTGTCTTGAATATTTTGCAAGTTGGTGAGCGGTTAATTATTGCTCATATATGTCTATCAATCTATAAGTATCTAATCTTAATGGCGTTAACGCATTTATATTTTCTTTTTCAATTTTTTGTTAATACTTTTAAGATTTCATTATTTGAATCTTTATTATGAAATTAGCAATTTTATTTGATAAATTCATTTTTTCAAAAAAAAAAGGGACACCCATAACAGTAATTATTATTGCAAAAAAATTTCTAATTTTAATTATTTTGATTTCCTACTCGTATAATTCTATATATTGAAGAAATGGAAAAGAAAATTACAATAATGACAAAAGGGGCAGATCTTAAGAATTTAACAAAAAATACTAAGACCACTTCCGCAGAAGCAAAGGCAGTGGGTTTATCAAACGGGAATGCAAAGAGCAATGCCTCCTCATCATGTTCCAGTCCAATTATTGGTTCGAAACGTTTGAGTGATTCTCCGGTACCATTAAATGATGATCCAACCGTTAATGCCTCAGTAACAGTCACCAAAGAAGATTTTAAAAAAGCCACAAAAGCTTCAAATACTACGAAATCCACAGTAACAAAATCATCACAGAACACACTTTCATCTTCAAAAAAAACATTACGAGTTATGTCTGTAATTCCTGATGCATCAAAAACATCGACTACGCCACCCTTCAAGTCGCGCACTTTACCACTACCTACACAAAACGGATTAAAAGCGAACTCATCAATTCCCGAATCTTTTACTTCAGATCTGATTTTTGAAAATAAGGCAAAAAGGATATCTTCATCAAATACATCTTCAGAAGTGGATGGAGCTTCTCCAACTGCTCGTCTCGCGTCAGCGGACGTTCATGGCAGATTTTCACCTGTTTTAAAATCAGTTAACGTCAAAAATACAATTGCCACATTAGAAAAAAAGGTGACACAAAATGGTAGCTTTTCAGCAACAAGTAGCGAGATTTCTCCAACTACAACAAATTTTACAGTCACCTCAGATACAAATTTAGAAGATATGGACATGGAACAATTAGAACAATTGTTCCTTAATGGAACGCGGTCCCCGTCGATCGTATCAAATTATTCATCAAATGCTCCTTGGAAGTCGGATATTCCTCTCGAGTTATCTGATGTATCATGGAAAAGTGATGATAATACGTATGATAATACTCGGGTGACTTCAGTAGCAACGAACTATCATTTTACTGATCCAGATGAACAGGTTATTATCTTTTAATAAACCTGAAATATTCCATGAAGTGTATTTATTATTTAGGCAACTCCAAATTGATTGTTTAACATAAAAAAAATAATATTTCGTAAGGGGGCATTAAACAATACCAAACATACAGTAATTCTATTGGCTGTAAAAATATAAAAAATCCAAAAAGCTAATACTGCAATTTGATTGGTTAATTTGGTGTTTTTTTACGTAAAATTTTAAAAACTAGAGAGGGGGATTATGTTAAACATAGAATCAATTTGGAGCGGCCTTATTTGAACATGACATTTACTTTATTATTATTTTGCAAAATAGTTGCGAACTGGTTTGTCTATGATACAGGAAGCTTACAATCGCAAATCTTTATCGGTTTCCTCTAATTTATGCGATGGAGACAAAGGAAAGGTAATGATTAATGTAAAATTCAATCATTGTAAAT